TTGGCATCGTTGGATAGAGAATTGAAAAGTCGATTCAGTCGTAACAACGTGAGTGAGGAAATTCGAGTAGTTTTGACCCAGAAAGCGACATTTGATTATCAGACACTTCGGTGCAAGATTGTGCCAAAACTCCATGCTTTTCGTTCCGTTTTTGCTCATTTCTCGGAGGCAAAATGAGCAAGAACGCTCGTTTTTACATCATTCCAGAGATAACTAAATGGCCTTTATTCGAAGTTTCTCAAGAACCATTTGAGCCAGAGAATTCATTTTGGTATCGTTGGATAGAGAATTGAATGGGCGGAAAAAGAGTGGCTTACTTGAGATGCGGAGGCAACTTGAACTTGTTTCTGAGATCAGCCGTCCTCAGGCCGAACATCGGGGTGTCCACAGTGAGCACCAGGGCTTTGAATCCGGCCTTTTCCGCCCTCTTTACCAGGTTGATGGTGACTTCTCTGGAAAGGAACAAGTTTTGTTTCTAAAAGGCTACCGTTTTACTTTTTTTAATCTCTTTGTTTGTTGGGTGTTTTGGCTCACAAATGTTTGCCTTTTCTTCCATTTTGGATTTTTTTCTGTCTTTTTCAGTATTTGCTTGAATTTTGATCAATATTCCAGAAAAACAGTTTTAATTCAAACTGCACTCCTTAAATATTGCGGATATAGTGAAAGATTTCGAAAAATATGGAAGAGGGCCCTGATTTTCGTCATCGCGTTTATACCATACAGAGTGTCCGCAAATAATCGCGCCAAACTGCCAGAGTTAAAAAACTCTGCTCAAATTCACCCTTAAGAGTGAACTGGAATAGAGCAATTTTGTTAAGAAAACTCAAGCTTTGGTTGGAAGTTTTTCCTCAACTAAACTGCCCCTAAAGCACTGAGTCAATTGGATCATTAATAAGGGAGTTTCACAAAGTTTCCCTGTTTTGAAAGCTAAACTATTGTCGCAGTTTTCTATTGATTTCTATATCTATAAAAACCCATCGAAAATAGTTCCCTTGTGCATTCATGCTGAAAATATCAATAGAAAACTTTATCGACTTTCTTAGTCCTTCCATGGATTTCCCGCAAGGACAATACGCGTCTCAACACCGAAAATTCGTAATTCCTCCTCACCTATCATTGTAGATATACAGCTGGAACCACTTGATGCATTTAGGCGCAGCTTCAGCTACTTCTTCTATGCTACTCGTAGCTATCGTGCTTAGTATGAAGATGGTACCCATGGATTCTGCGGCTGGATCACCGAAAAAGTTGCCTAATTAAGCTCCAAAACTTCCCTACTAAGTACCTCGGGCATTGGCACATTCTCCCTCTGGATGCGCCATTCTTTGCATGGCACTTGGCGATATTCCCACAGGCATTAGCAGCTTGGCTCCCAAAGCAGTGGTGGATACGCTTCTGGTTGAGACGTCTCTCAAGCATCTCGGGCGGATTTTGTATCTGGAAAAGCATCGATACTCATGCGGCTGAGAGAGTTTGGGAAACGTACTTGGAAAACGCCCTTCTGTTGTTGTCCAAAGTCTCCTGCCTGCCAGCGCCGCTTCGGTAGTAGTCCAAAGTGTTCCTCGGCAGGACTTTGTAGGCAAACTCCTCAAAATCCTTTACACACACCAAGTCCCGCATTGTAGGTGAATTTCGTTGAACCACTTTAACGGAAACTGATTGCTGACATCTTTTCAACGTTCTTCTGCAGCAGCGCTGCTCACTTTCCAGAGTTCGATTAGTACGAGGTTTGCCTAGTGAATTCTTTTGGCACTGAATCGACTTTCTGGCAGGTTTTCGCTTGATGGCCAACACCATCCAGAGTCAGTTCCAACGTGGCCCATTGGAGCTAACAAAGTAAGCAACAAAAAAGGCCAACGTACAACCTCCCCATTTTGGCGATCAGTTTGCTTTTCCAATGTTTGCTCTTTGACTAATATTTGTTTGATTTCTTCTGAATGTTTTGATTAGATAAATGAAATATTCTAACTAAACAACTAAAACGCTAATTGCCGTTCACCATTCATTAACGAATGTGAGCGCGATAAGAATTGTTGGTGTTTTGGTTATTATTGCAAATCGACCCAGTCAATCAAAAGAATATCGCTTGTAAGGAGTAGCAAAACAAAACAACGGTCAAGTTCAGTTGAAAATCGCGTGGTCTGGTTTTGCGGATTCTATGATTGGCTGAAGAAATACAGGGTGACCAGCTAATAGATAATACATGGGATCTCCGAAACCGTCAGAGCAGGCCTGGGTAACCAGGGGTGGATCCAGGGAGGGGTCATGGGGGTCATGAGCCCCCCCCATTAAATTCTCTATCCAACGATGCCAAAACGAATTCTGTGACTCGAATGGTTCTTGAGAAACTTCGAAAAAAGCAGCGTCATGTTCAAGTGGATTTTGCAACTCAAAAAAAAACACGCAAATATAAAACTTCTTGAATTCAAGCATTTTTTGAGAAAACTGCCAACATTTGCTTATCGATGGTTCACTTTCTAACAAAGCCAGTTATTTCTCTCTAGCATGATGTACAAATGAGCGTTCTTGCTTATTTTGCTTCCGAGAAATGAGCAAAAACGACACGTAAAACATGGAATTTTGGCATAATCTTGCACCTAATTATCTGATATTCAAATTTCGCTCGAATTTCCTCACTCACGTTGTTACGACTGAATCGACTTTTCAATTCTCTATCCAACGATGCCAGAACGAATTCTGTGGCTCGAATGGTTCT